ACCTCCACTCAAGTTGTATTGAGAACGTGAACGGAAGCTTCACCCCAGCATCCAAAACAAAAGAACCTGGATCTATCATCTGTTTTAATTTGTTCAAATGGTTCCTTGCCCCCATTAACGTGAACGATTGGGAGTCAACCAGACTTAAAATTTATTGCGCACGGAACGAGAGCTATCACCTTGACTTGAGAACCCTTGAACTCTTTTGACCACGGTCTGAGTGGGACTTGGGAGTGAAAACGTGAGTTTCAGGTTGTTCTGAAATTCTCTGCCATGATACCTTGATCACAATAAATCTGATGTGCATGAAGCAAATCTTGTAATTGCTTCTGGAGCCTACATCTGAAATCCAGATTGGTGGCTTGGTTTCGGCAACACACAGAATATACTTCGGGATTGCCACCATTTGTTTGTTTTTCCCATTCAAAAACTGTCTCTTTAAAGCTTGACTTTAATTTCCCATCAACCTTGGCCCTATGGGACTGATGTAGTAAAAACCCAACTTTTGGTCAGCAAATGAAATAAACTGTTTTCAAGACACATCTGGAGTAAATATGGATGGTAAAGAGGTGCTACTTTTACCATCACTTTTCTGACCATCCGTTTCACAAATTATTTACAGGTCTCTCAGAAACCAGCTTCTCTGTTACTCAGTTGGCCGAGAAGCGGCCAGGCCCAGCCACCAGCCCTGATGTGCTCGTTCTCATGTGACTCATTACTGCAAATGGAGGTGTTGGCCCCAAATGCTCTGGAGCAGCTGAAAACTATCTCATTATGTAGCACCCAATCAAGGCCTTTTTCTTCTTTCTTTTTTTAAATCCTTTTCTTGACTCTCACCACATGGAAGCGTTTTGAGAACTGGTTCTGAGGGCTTCGGGAAGCGATTCCGGGACTGCCCGCGCCGACGACGACAGGCCTCACTTTGATGTCTGTGCTAAATGGCTGTTCCGGGGAAGTGCGCGTTCTCTGATCCCCCACCCTCCTTCCTTCCTGTCGCCACCAAACATGGAGGCTTTCTCAAATAGGTTTTACAAAACCGAAAAGTTTCTGCACTTATACCTAGTTTCCAAACTCTCTCTTCCAAAGCAGACCCAGTGTTTGTCCTCATTCCTGACGAAGCCGTACAGAAGGGCGGTCCCAGCAGTGCTGTGAAGGGAATATGGTCAATGATAACATAACAAACGTCTGTGAACACCTGTCGTGGGCCAGGCCCTGTGCTGGGCCCTTTAGATGTACTATCTCATGTAATCTTAAAAATGACCCTAGGTCTCAGCACTGCTATCGTTCCCACTTTGAAGATGAGAGAATTAAAAGAATACAGTATGTTCTATCTGGGACAACAAAGCCATTAAGTCTTATACAGCTATTACGCTGTATAAGAGACAAACACAGGTTTAGAATGTGTGTCCTTTTTTAAAACTTAAAAGTGTAACATATTTAGAAAAACGAAAAACCCGGAATGTATATAGCTCAATGAATTTTCATAAACAGTCATGTAAAGAACACTCGAGCCAAAAAAAAAAAAAAAAATACATTACCAGCACCCAGAAGCCCCTTTCCTGCACCAGTCACTAGCCACCCACTCTGCACGGGAACTGTTATCATGATTTCTTAGATCTTAGATTAGTTTTGTCAATTTTTGAACTTAAATGGAACCAATATGTATTGTTTTGTATTCAACCTTTTTTTAATCCAATATTACAGTTGTGAGATGTATCTGTGATAGTGTAACAGTTTTTTCATTGCTTGCTAGTGTTCCATGGTGCGAACATACCAAAATTTATTCTGTTGTCAATGGGCCAGGGTTATTTATAAACTTGGGCCATCACAAATGATGCTATGAGGAACATTTTGGAACATCGTGCCTACTGATGACATATATGGATACATTTCTGCTGAGCGTATATCCATCTGGGAGTGGAAGTTCTGGGCACATTCAGCTTGAACACATACTGCTAGCATTTCAACCTGTGCATTATGAGTTGGCAAATGACTTGAGGGGTATTACAGACTGAACCGTGTCCCCCCCCTCCCCTCCTGCAAATTCATATGTGGAAGCCCCAAATTCCCATGTAACTGTTTGGAGACAGAGCCTTTAGGGTGGCAATTAATGTTAAATGAGGTCACAAGAGCCCTAATTTGACAGGATGGGCATTCTTTCAAGGAGTAGAAGAGACATCAGGGCTCACTTGTTCTCTTAGCACATACCAGAGGACACAGTGGGAAAGTGACCGTCCGTAGCCAGGAAAGAACGGAGTCCTCACCAGAAACCCAACCTGTCAGCACCTTGATCTTGGACTTAAGCCTCCAGAACTGCGAGAAAATAAATGTGTAAGCCACCCAGTCTGTGGTGTTCTGTTGTGACAGTCTAAATAGACTGATACAGGGGGAAAAGTGGTACAGAAGTTTGGGCTCACCTCAATGAGCTTGCTTTCTATTTAGGATCTTGGCCTTTCTTGTTCTGGTGTCCTGGCAACTCTGAGCTCACAGCTTCGTCCCTCCAGCTCTTGGACTCTGCGAAAGCTCAGGTCAGGGCTGTGGCCTCTTAGTGGCTCTCATGTGGTTTTCAGCCCCTCATCCTTGTGCCCCTTCCAACATGGCAAAGCCTCGAGGGAAAACAGGCTTTGAGGGTGGCCTGTCAAAGTTTACTCTGTCATTACTGGGAATAGAAATCTAATTGGTAGTTGTTAAAACAAGGAACTTACGAATAGCTGTAAGAAACAGAACTCCAGCAGGACTAACTCAGTAATTCTGACCACTTTCAATTACAGTATTTCTCAGAGTCAAACACCTATTCAAGGATAGAATCTGATGGTTTTTGAAATATCAACCTGACACAATTTTTTCCTCTAAGGAGGTCTCTGTTTGGAACCCACACTTTCTAGATCTTTGTTAGAGAACAGAGAATTTCCTAAAAGGATAGGCGATTGCCCTCAGAATGATCAGAATTGCCTGGAATTGTTTTGGGGGAAAAAAGATGTTTAAGAAATACAACCATTCAGTCGCACTTGAATAAAATGTCCCATTTGGTGACTGAAAATCAGAATCACAGATGAATCCCAAATAATGCGCTCAGAGTCAGGAAGCCTGGTCCCAAGGCCCATCCTATTCCCCCATTAGAGGTGGGGCGCTGGGGGACTCAGCCACTTGGTGCCTCAGTTTCTTTGGCTGTATAAAGGGAATACTCACATTTGTCAAGTGTTTTCAAGTCTCCAAAGCACAGGTGATCATCTTGCCTCAGGAACACCCTCAGCACTGCTGGGGTTAACTCCCAGCACTGACTGCAGGGCTGAAGTCTCCGCCTCCTTCACTGGTTTCTCAGCACCAGGTGGAGGCCGTCGCCTGCCCTCTTTTCATCCTCAGTACCTTGCCTCACACATGGCGGGCACGGAATGATAAATGGCGTGCTCGGGCCTGTACCAAGCACACAAGGGCTCTTCCCACACCGGCCCCGAGTGTTCCCCAAAATGGTGTGCCACACACTGGAGGGCAACAGTGTTCCCGGCGAAGTCGGTAAGTGGAGTTGTCCCATCATGGGAAATGGTCAAAATCACTCTAGAAAACCCCTTAAACAGCCCACAAGGTACAATTCGGGTTTCGTACCACGGCGCATAACAGCATCTAGTACAGCAATCTTTAGGCACTGTCAATTTTAAGAACTAGAAAGGAAACCAACGACCCAGCATTCAAAGCTCTCTGCCCCTGTAACACCTATGGAGCCCCTGAAATGACTGGAGACATGTGGTGAGGGCTGAGAAGGCCCACTCACCTACTGTGTGTCCTCATCCATTCTGCTTTGACCGTAAAGCCTCTAGGACTTTTACACCAGAATTAGAACTTTTCACTGTGAAGCAGACAAAGTGCTGTTCAGGCTGGGTTCTCAAGTCAGTGACTAGCCTGGCTCCTGGCACATCCCTCCTTTGGAGAGTCCGAGAGCTTGGTAAAGGCTCTGAAAAAGTTCCGGATACGTTTAACTTACATCCAGTTTCCCAACCTTATCTGACACTTGTTTCTTATTGGCACATGATACCTACTAACATTCTATGAAACATCTTCAGTGTGACATGCCACGGATGGAGCCCTAGACCATTACTGAAAGCTTTTCTTATTTTATAAACAATCCTTGTTTACCTGCCTTCAGGGCAGAGAGACTCAGAACAGATTGGAAGGAAATAAGGGTGAAGAAGGTTGTCAGATTAAAAAGAAAATGGACGGCTAACATCCTGGCAGGAATGGAAGGCACAAATGAATCACAAAGCACCCATAGGCTTATTTTCAGGGGTTCAACAAATATTGTTGCATAGTATGATCATGGAGGTTCAAAAGAAGAGCATTTGGGTCCATAAGAGAAGGGGACCTCCATGGTAAGTTTAAGATGGTAGGAATACATTTATTACATTTCACCAAGATGAAAATGTGTGGGCATCTAAAGGCAAGACTCAATAGTTGGGGAGATGCCCACAACAGTAGCAGGTAAGAGAGCCATCCCTTCATCCGCTGCTCTCGACCCTCCCCCCTTCACACTTGTCCTCTCCCTTCACACACTGTTCCTAATCAGCCCTCTCGACAGAGGCCATGCCAACTGTTCCAACAGACTTCAGATCCTACAGGTGTCATAGAGTCTTGAGCTCTGTTAGCCGGGAAGGCACTGTGGGGAATATTAACCCAAAATGTTCTTTTTAAGGAGGAAAGTCTAATGAGTTGATTTCAAGATACCAGAACATAAATAAAAGTTTATCTTTTAGGTCACGTCCACTTGTGAATCAAATACAGTACAGGAACGAAGAGACTGCATCCCAGTCCATACTGGTGGTGTCCGTCCCAGGGCCCAAGGCCACGGAGTCAGTCTTCAGTGTAAGAAAGCCTCTCCATCTGTTTTTGTTTTTTTGAGGGAGAACATTCAAAGGAATTGTTCACAGGAGCAGGATCCTTAATCCCCTCTGCTTTCCACTGTGTCAGACATAGCGATTGTTCTCTTTAAATAATCACCGTTTCCATCCTCACTCGTTATATTTGGACAGTTTCAGCCGGGGGATGATGTTCATGGACTGCAGCTCCTGGAAGAGCAGCTTGCAGGCATACGGGATGCGGAGGGAGGACACGTGGCACGAGGACTTGCAGTAATGGCACCTGAAACCCAAGTCCGCATGTGTTAGAGGGACGGGGACTCAGAAACCAAGGCCTGCATGTAGAAGTGCAAAGTTTCTCTACAAAAGTCTACCACCATCCCATCAGTTCTGTTTGTCAGGGTTCAGTCTTGCTATCAAATATGTGCAGATATGTGCCCCTCCACCCCACCTCCCGAAAAGCAGCATCCAAGGAAGCAAAAGAAAAAAACCAAAACAAGTATCACTCCTGCAGTCTTAAAAGCATGCAATTTTAATCAGTTACTACTATGCTTCTAGACCATTCTCTTTAAAATGCAAAACATCTGCCTATTTACTTATTTTGAATGAGGCCCAGAAATGTGAGCCATCTCGAAGTTATTCAGATTTAGACTTTGGCATTGTGGAAAGCTTTTTAAATCAATTCAATCTCCATGTATTTGATAAAAATCTACTACTGTACTATTCACGGCAAGATGCTCAACAATTACAATTTGATCTGTCCCTGAGACACTTGGAAGTGTGATGGGGAAGATAAGACTTTCATATGGAATGTGGTGTCCAATCCAATGCGATTTATTTTTCCAGTGCTCTTCAAGTTTGGTTCTATCAGTAGAAGAAGCTACTGTACTTACAACGTTCTCTCCCTGTGTGCATGTATTCCCAATTGATCCCTACAACAGCCCATACTCCTAATCAACATGCCTGCTATGCCAAGGAGGGTTGTCTTTTCTCTTCCTTCAGGAAGAGCTAGTTCACTAAACCTAGGTTTTAAATCAATGGCTACAAACGATGAAGAGTCCCCAGGAAGAAAGTGAACTATCTTCTGAGGTTTCAGATGAACACAGGACTTCATCCTGTACCTCAAGGGTCTGGGGCAGTCAACAGAGTGGGTAAATGAGTGCAAGAGATGAACATGGACTGAGGCTTAGAGGATTCAGTGCTGACTAGGAACTGGAGGGGACTCCATCGTGAGCAGGAAGGGCCATAGTGGAAGGCAGTAAGGCAATATGAGTACAAGTGTAAACGTGCATATTATTTGATTCATCGCCAAGTGGCAAAGATGAGCGCATGAGAACGTTCACGGTTTATAACAGCACAAAGCAGGAGACTGTCCAAGAGGGAACTGGTTTGTACTTACAGGACATTTACACAGAAGAATACTGGGCAGTCATTAATCGTGATGATGTACACTCATATTTGTTGAAATATAAAGGTGTTCAGGACACACTCTGGAGTCAAAAAAGAAGTTTGCTCAACAGCCTGGTCCCAAGGAGGTCATCGGATGGGTTTCAGGAAATATATGAAGCCCCCAAAGTCATATGTAACAACATTTTTTTCTAAAGACCTCCTTAATACATTTTTTTTTTTAAGTTTATTTATTTTGAGACAGAAACAGCACAAGTTGGGGCGGGGCAAAGAGAGAGGGAGAGAGAGAAAACCCCAAGCAGGCTCTGCGTTGCCCCTCATATGGGGCTTGAACCCACAAAGCCGCGAAATCATGACCTGAGCTGAAACCAAGAGTCGAACACTTAACTGAGCCACCCAGGCGCCCCAATACATTATTGTTTAAGAACTATGTTTTTAATGTGCCTGGCTGACCTCATTTATTCAGGCATCATGTGGATGCTTTAATTAAATTGGAGAAATGGATTTAACTGCAGCAACTTCTTGCTGATTCTAGGTCACTCTGTGACTTCAACCCAGGCTTATCTGTTCAGAACTTCCATACTTGCTGGTTCATAACCCAGAAAGCCCACTAATCTTTTCTATTATTAAATATTTCTCCATCACTTAAAATGCTCCTATGCATGTATGTATGTGCATATATATAAATGCATATATTTATACACATATATAAATTAAAAGCTATTATATTACCTTACCCTGTGTCTGAACAATTTCAAAAGGAAGAAACTTGACACAAACAGCAGTTACGTAAACTCACTTCTTAGGGCAAAGGCGGCAAAAGGGGGAGGTGGCTGTGGCTTCACAGGAGAAATCGCTGTCCAGTAAAATGTCCTCTATGAGCTAATTATCTTAATAGGGATTTTCTTTTTTCTGTTTTCCTTCCAGACCTCTCTTTTGTGACTTATGCCCTTCGTGTCTTCTGCAGAACAACAGTCTTGCTGTAAACATCCCCATAGCAATGCCTTACTAATGTGCAAATCACTGACAAAAGGCCAGTTTCGAGGTTCTGAACTGCTCTAATTACTCAGCCTTCATTGTGCTGTTCATTAAAGAACGACTGCCTCCCACACACGCCGTGCCCCCTCCCGCACAGCCCGCACGCACAGGCAGGTAATGATGGCAAAGCCACGGCATCATTATGCTCCTCTGCCAGAGCGCGGCACACGCGGAGGCTGCTAGACGACCACACTGGGGTAGGATTTTTTTCTGTTGGCAACAAGGGGACAAGCAGGCCACTCAAAATCAGACACACAGCATATCCAGGTCTGTTTAATTACAGGAAAGACCTTAAGGCGTGTAACCTGATTTAGCCCCTTTTCAAAGGATTGCTATTAAGATACACAAGGAACACCTGAGCTTCGAAATTAGGCACTGCCATCACATGATGTCTAGATGAGACAGAAATGAAGCAGGAAAGAAGAATTAAACAGAATAATATTGAGATCAATAATTGCTTTCATTAGTTTCCCTGAATATTCAGTGGAAGAGATGGGAAGGTTTTCAAAGTCTGTGAGTGAATCTGGTCTACTGCTCTCTTTCTCTCTTAGGTGGTGGGCACAGGAAAAAAAGCAGAGAGGATGGAAAAGGAAAGGAAAAATTTTTTTTAAGTTTACTTTGAGAGATCAAATGAGTGAGCGGGGGAGGGGCAGAGGGAGAGGGAGAAAGAAAATCCCAAGCAGGCCACACACTGTCACTGCAGAGCCCGACACAGGGCTTGATCCTATGAACCACAAGATCATGATCTGAGCCGAAATCAAGAGTTGGATGCCTAACCGACTGAGCCACCCAGGCGCCCTGGAAATTCTTTTTGAAGTTTCATGATCCCTATTGTTAAAAAAGTGACTCTTCTGTACCATTTTTTCAAAGTAAATTACATAAAAATCCGTGTGCCAAATTGGAAGATTTCAGCATAGTGGAATTGGTCCCAGGGAGCTTCCTACTACATTTGTGTGGCTGTTGTTACACAGCCAGGACAATAAAAAGCAAATTCAATATGCACTTCAGAAGATGAACAGACGTCTCAGAATTGAGACAACCCCCCCGCCCCACCCCGAGTCACCAATATAAGAAAGAGCCAGGCTTATGCTTAGATTAATAATGTCACCCATTTCTGCACCCTCAGGAAGGGAAAGAGCTGCAAATGGCCACCTCCTGTGTCTGTTTTTAAATGAAGTGATTTCTTCACAGACAAGTCTCATCAACTTCTCTACACCAAAAACCATAAAATAACTGGCTAAAAGGTTTTGTCATTAACCTAGCAAGGTATATACACTACGTCCTAAGATGCCCCTCACTCTGACTCTTGATTGGCTTTATTCAGGATAACAAAGAGACTGGAGGCTTAGGAGAGCAAGAAGTCCCTGCTTTTAGGGGAGACTCAGTGGGGCAAAGGTGGCCCAGGTATCCCTGGAACTCACTTGGGCCCAATTCTATCTCCCAGGGGACGGCGCCTCCCTAGGGAAAAGGGGCTCTGGGAGTGCAGGTGAGGGGTGACAAGGGAGTAAAGACTGTCCCTGGGGCGCCTGGGTGGCTCAGTCGGTTACGTGTCCGACTTCGGCTCAGGTCACGATCTCGCGGTCCGTGAGTTCGAGCCCCGCGTTGGGCTCTGGGCTGATGGCTCAGAGCCTGGAGCCTGCTTCAGATTCTGTGTCTCCCTCTCTCTCTGCCCCTCCCCCATTCATGCTCTGTCTCTCTCTGTCTCAAAAATAAATAAACGTTAAAAAAAAAAAAATTAAAAAAAAAAAAAAAAAGGGAGTAAAGACTGTCTCCTGTTCCTGCAGCACCAGCTTTGGACCTCATGAGACCTCGTCTCTGACAGAAAAGCAAGCCAAGACCGGCAAGCTACGGGCTCTCCTGCCTACAAGGTAAGTCGGGGCTCCGGGTCGGGACTGGCCCGAAGCAGACCAGTTGTTCCTTGGCAGGAGAGTGGAACATTTATGAAGAGGAAAGACCAAAAAATACATAGTTTCATCTTTTAAGCTGGACTTTGTGTCCTCAACTCTGCACAGAAATGACATATATCATGATTCACATACTTTATCTATTCGCTACCCTCCATATGCAGGGTTAGTTATCATTTAGCAATTGTTTTTCACTAAGCAACCACCAGACCCCAGGCTGCAGGAGGTATAAACAAGAGAGAATGCAGTTAGAAGGAACTAGGAGATAAGTTCCCTGTGAGCAGCCATTCACTGGTCTTATTCACCCCCATATTCTGGGGCCCAGAGAGTATCTGGCACTTAGCAGCCTCAAGCTGTTAAATGAATGACTGAGACAGACCTCGTTGCTACCATCACGGAATTCAGTCCCAAGTGTGTAGCAGTTTGCTACTCAGAGAGCACACAAACAGGTGTCAGGGTACCAGGTCCTGGTCCTGCCTGTCCCCAATTTGCCATAGAACGTGGAACAACACACACAGCTCTTTGGGCCTGAGGTTGAATAAGGCTGTTCAACACACGTTCTCTAAAGTTTCTAGTTACAGGGGCACCGGGGTGGCTTGGTCGGCTGAGCATCTAACTTTGGCTCAGGTCCTGACCTCATGGCTCACAAGTTCAAGTCCCACGTGGAGCTCGCTGCTGTCAGTACGGAGCTCGCTTCGAATCTTCTGTCCTCCCCTCCTCTCTCTGCCCCTTCCCAGCTTGTGCTCTCTCAAAAATAAATAAATCTGGGGCGCCTGGGTGGCGCAGTCGGTTAAGCGTCCGACTTCGGCCAGGTCACGATCTCGCGGTCCGTGAGTTCGAGCCCCGCGTCGGG